TGAAAAGTGGGGTCTGTATGGGACTAGTCTGAGTCATCCGTTGTTGATTCGTATTCATCAGTGTCTGATGAAGATTCTGTCTCAACATGATATATAAAAACATGTTGTGTACCATCATACTCTTCTTCAAGAGCTTCATAGCCCCCATTGTTAGCGGTTTGTAAAACCTTGACTTTGTCAGGGTATTTCTTTCTATTTGGACATTCATTGGCGTAGTGTCCTTCTTCATTGCAGATCCAACACCTACATTTTTTCTTTCCTTGCGGACAGGAAGTAGTCTTCTTAGGTGTTTCTTTTGAAGGTTTTTTGAAGTATTTTCCTGGAGAAAATTTTCTTCTTTTCTTTTTCCAAAAAGATTTGAATTTCTTTTTGTTTTTATACTTTTTCTTATTATAATTTTTCTTTCCAATATCAAAGTTTTTGAAATCAGAGAGAATGCTACAACAATCTTTGCTTATTGTTTTAAGTTTTTGTTGTTTATATCTGTCTTGACAGATTCTATCAATTTCTTCTTTTGCAATTTTTGTTGCATAAGAAAGACTGGTTTGCTGGATTTCTCCAGTAACTTCTTTTTTCCATCTGTCTGTACAGGTTTCTCCAATAATTGGAATCTTCATGAGGTAAGCAGATATCCATTGTGCATATTCACTTCTTTGTGGAATATCATATAGATATGATTCATACATACAAGTGTATTTGTCGAGAAGACTAATATCATGTAATTGGAGTTTTGTCATTGAAACTCTTGCTATGTCAACTTTCTTATTAATGGTGTAGTCTTTATTAGAAATATAATCAAGACCTAAGAAAGTAGTGTATATGACATTTATGATATTATCAAAAAGATCTGAACCATGCATTTCTTCATTCCAATTATTGTTTCTTAGGAATTTTTGTACAATTCCATCAGTTTTGTGTTCTAAAAGTAGTAGAACATTTTTTGCTTTTTCAAATTCATCTGGGTTTGTCTGTAAGATTAGTGAAATCTCAGTAACCCATTTTTCTACAACTCTTTCTCTGAGTTTTAGATCTTGGATACAATCAATATTGAGTACATTGATCGTATTGGATCCTTGACCACTATTTGGAATACCATTGTGGACAGGCATTTTGAACTCATATTTCTTTTTATTGCCTCTTCTTGTAGCTGTATAAGAAGATTCTGCTTCATCATCTTCCATATCCGAATATTCGAACTTAACAGTCTTTGTATTTGTTTTAAAGTTATCTTCTTCTTCTGATTCAGTGTCAGGTTCATTTATTTTAGTCATTCTAAAATATTGATCAAAAAGTTTGGGTTCTTTTTGATACAATTTTTCACATTCTTCAGTTTCTAATGATAAAAGTTGAATAAGTTTTTGGTCAGCTTTATCATAATCTTCAAATTGAAGGTTAAAGAAATATTTCTCGAGTTTCTCAGAGATTGTTTCTTTCATTTTTACTCTTTCCTGAAAATGTCAATTTTCTGGGAATTTTTTGAGCTTCCTAAGTCAGGGTTTCCAACACTAGGATTGGGAGGTGAGTATTTCTTAAGACCTGAATATTTTCCTGGCTTGGATTTTTGTTCTATGATGGAGATATTTTTGATGTGCTCAAGAATGTCTTTATTACAAGGGCAAGAGTCAATCTTTTCAGATAACTCCTTAATAATGTCTGCAATAATTTTTGCAGATGCTACTTCCAACTGGGCAATGGTTACGTATTTATTGACTATTAAGTCCAAGTTTATAATCAGACCATCTATTTTTTCATTAAGGAGGTTGATTGATCTATTGAGCTCGGGTATCGAGGTGGTTGATCTATTCAGCTCGGGTATCGAGGTCATCCTATTAGTTGTTTTAACTGATCATGTATATTAGTGATCTTAAGGTTGATTTCCTTAAGAGTGCCCTCAATATTTGCCTTTTTGGCGACTTCTTCAACAAATTGGTTGTTTTTTAAAGAGTTTTCTAAAAGAATAGAATGTTTGTCAATAGACTGGGTTAACTTGATAGTTAATTTATTTTGTCTTTCAATAACTTCCAAGAATTTTTCCAAATCTTTTTTATCAAGATTGTTTTTAACCATAAAGGCTAAATCGTTTTTAAATTGGTTAAAAGGTATTTTATTTTTTGAAATATCTTCAGAAATATCTTTTGAAATACCAAGATAATGGCTTATTTTTGAAGTTTTTAAGAGGCATCTTGCAATGATCTGGTTGAGATTATTGCAATGATTTACAATTGTTTGAATACCGGCTTTTCCTGAAGTAGAGAAAACGTATTCTTTCTTTTCAGTATTATCGTCAAGAGTTTTAATTTTGACTGTTTTACCTTTTTTATAGAAATGAGGAAAATCAATTTTATTATTCATTTATAATGTCAGTGATTTGTTTGATATTCTGGCGTAGACTATCAATTTTTAAAGACATGTTTCTTATTAAATTATTATCTTTTCTTTCCGAGCTTTCTCCTATGTGGAGTGAATCCATAGAAATTCTTGGTCTAAGAGTTTCTCCTAGAGCTTTTTTATTTCTAGCTATATTTAAAACCCAAGAGTTTTCTTGAGGATTTATGTCGCAGAATTGTTTATCTTTGACATGGCCTATTTCTGAAAAGACATCATCAAGTTCGATGTACTCGTCTTTCTTATAGTCTATGCTATGGTGACTGTTGGTCAGGGCATATCCTATAAGATATGTTATGGTGAATGGTTTATCACCTGGACTCATAAGGTCACTTCTTTCAAAGTGATGTATAAAAGATAAGGTTTTATCTATATTTGCAGATTTTAAATCCAGAGCAAACTTTGGATAGACTGAAAACATAAACTTTTGGTAAGCAAGGTTTCCCTTTGCAGCACCTAAGATGCAGTCCTGTCTGTCAGTAATTCTGTTGTCAATTAAGGCCATTTTTATGGGAGAATTTATTCCTGCTTGGAATTGGGATTTTAGCAAAATTTTTACAGCTCCGATATGGACCATTCTAATTTTTGATCTAATCTCAACTGGAATACTTTTTAAGTTATTGTTTATTTGTTCCTTAGTTAAAAGGGGTAGAAAGACAGCTCCTATTGTATCTTTTATGTCTACTGACATTTCTTTAGTACTAACAAAGTAGAAGATTTCATTTTTCCTTTTAAGAGGATTTAAAATACTAAGTTTAGAAGGAACATTTTTGAAAATGTTTTCTTTCTTTATTTTTAAATCTATTTTCTTAACTCGAGAGAGAAGGTCTTGTTTTATTAAAAGATTTGCATGAAAGCCATCTTCATCTTCAACATAAGTTAAGATTTGTTTTTCTTCTGAATTATTTTCTTCAGTGTTGTTGAAAATTTCTTTATTCATTTTAAGAAAATTTTAATAAGTTAAAATAAATTTTCTGAGTTCTGAAACTAATTTTTTATTTCTATCAAGATGTTCTTGATGAACTTTTTGCTCATGTAGGAGATACTTACGTATACTAACCAAGTTTGGTATATATTCGTGAGTATGTTTATTTTGTGCTTGTAGAATTCTGAAATTTATATGCACTAAATCTTTTTTATTATTGAAAAGTATTTCTTTATGTTGAGAAATTTCAATTTCTTTATTATGAATATCTTCAAAAATTACACTGTAAAGTGTTTTGTTATAATGTAATGCCATTTTTATCAAGGCTCTGATACCAGTTTTGGAGATGAAAATGGCATTACATTATAACTGAACAACTCGGCGAGTCGAGGACAGGACTTGTTCATCGGATGAAGGTGGACTCGACGAGTGTTCATACAACTTGGCGATTCGGATGAGGTTTACACGATGTTCATATGAGAGAGGAACTCGTCGAGTCGATGCTAAACTCGACGAGTCGAGTCTTGGATAAAGACGAGTAAAGGGTTAGGGACTCGATGAGTTGACGTCCCAACTCGCCGAGTCGGGTCAACTTGAAGTTGACTTTGACTGGACTTGAACTAAACCTGTTTTAGGGTTGCACATGTTGCGTGTTGAGTTGAAGGTTGTTGTGTAGGGATCGAGGAGTCGAAGGGAGTCGACTTGTGTGCCGAGGATAATTCAAACACTGCACGACATTGAGGTGAGTTACCTTACAGTAGGGGTGGGTCTAAGGCCATAATGCTAGCCCACCAAAAAGGGGTATTTAGAAGACGATTGTCTTTGTGATAATTATCTTGGTCTGGTTATGTTCTTTGGTCATGAGATTTATATGTATGATATGTTATGTGTATAATAGAGATTAGCTTCCCTGATAGTGGTCCTTAGGACCAAAGGGGTAAGTCAGTACCCGGATATGTCTGACTGCATGCTTATATTGTTGGATTAGTGTCTAAGCCCATAACCATATTTGGTAAGTACTTGACCCGGTTGTGCATGGTCCTTTTGGGTTGCCTTCACCACAGCAACTTGACTAGAGAAATAATAGAGAAAGAGGTTATTATGATTTATTAATATATTATAAGAATAATATATTAAAGGAGAAATCATATGAGAAAGGAATTTGTGTTGTTATTACAATATAACAACAAGAGGCATGTAATCACTTCTACTACATAGATTTTGAAATACCTAGGTGCATGCTAGGGTTCTTATTGTGTTCATAAAGTTGTGTATCAAATAGAGAAAACATAGATCCAAATCTATGGTTGTATGCACACATAGGATTACTTGTATAAAACCCATCAGTGGTCTCAAAGCATATGGTTAATTGTTTTCAATTAGATTAAAACCCGCGTTAAACGCGGGGAGCATATAAAAAAACATAGAATTGTAAACATATATTACATCATAGGAAGCATGACCATTAAAAGTAGATTGCCATAGCTATTTTAAATTCATTAACATACATTACAATAGCTATTTTAATTTCATAACAATTAAAAGAATAAATAAAAAACTAATAAATCATAGAATAATATAAAATATTAAAATAGTTCATTACAAAAAAAAACAACTATGTTCGAATGCAAATTAAAATATATATATATATATATATATATATATATATATATATATATATATATAATCACTACTTTCTACTTGGCATAGTCATTGTATCAAAATCAGAACGGTTTGAAAAAACTTGTTGAGAATGATGTGCCGGAACCACATAGTCAATCGTATTTCCTTTAAAGAAATATATGGTATTGTTTCTATAATCCCACCATTCATGTGCACTTTCATTGTAAGTACTAACATCTACTTTAACCCACCGATTGTGAATGAAAATCCAAATAGCCCACGGACTATCTCCACTTATAGAGAGATATCCCAATTTTCCGTGAAACTTGATTAGTCTCGATGCATACGGTTTTAATTCAATACTAGTAGAAGGTGCAAATATGAGTATATGTTCTTCTGAATAAATATCAAATCGCAATATGGTATCATTAGATAATAAGAAGTATACGACACCGCCACTTGTAACTGCCTCATCAGAAACATGATAAACAGATGATGGTAACCGGATATTTTGAAACACCCTCCATTGCCATGTAGTAGATGAAAACAATTCTATGTTGTAGTAATCATAGTCCACTTTTTCCTTAGGCATATCACTGCAAATAAAATAACATATAAGTAAATCATAAAGTAAATTAATAACATAAAATGTACTACATATAAACTCTTACAATGGCTTTGACAATCGAATGACCTTGAAATGTAACGGGTTCGAACTGATAACTACCAAAGCAAACTTTGTTGCAGTGTATTCAGAGGTCGGAAAAGGTATCCATTTGGCATCTGAAGTCGTTGGTTTGATAAAAAAATAAATTCTTTGAAACGTATTCATCTGGATCATAGGATTCAACAAGAAGGAGTCTACACAATGATGATGCTAAAATAGTACAAGTATGTGGTAGCCAATTAATGTCATGATTGTTGCTACCAGAAGACGGAAGAAACTGAAGCTCTTTATTTGTCCATGGGTTTTTTTGTTGAACGATAATTCCACAAACCACATTATTTCTACGGTTGTAGTTATGAAGAACATAGTTGTTGTATGTTAGATTTCCATAATATGTATTTGTACAACGTACAGTAGCAAATGTTTGTAATGATGTTCGTGAAAGAATTTCAATAATTAGTTCAGAAGTCAATAACGATAACTGCAAAAGAAAGAAATAATAAGATAATAATATTAGAAAAACTTAAAATTTAATATTTGATGACACACGATTTTAATTGATAATAAGTATACTGTTTGTAGCATTGAGTGTAAAGAATTTTACCCGATCCATTTTCAATATTTTTTTCCAATTCATCAATAATTGTATTGTTAGACGGGATCCTTGAGATAGCATGAAATTCTGTTTTGTTATTCAAATTGTCATGTGTAATTTGAATTTTGAATGCCATCTTTTTTTCCAATAGTATATTTAGAGCAGATGGATAAATTTCATTATTACCAACCTAAAAAAAAGAACGTTTATAAAAATAGATATACAAAATAATAATTTTGTTTTATGTAAATGAAGTTAATATGTATAACCTTATAGAACTCATGAACCAACTCTTGTGCGTTTTTTCTTATAAGCTTCTTTGCGTCATAATCATATAAAGTATGTGACACCGAACCGGTAATATCTTCAACTATAATGGTGATTTTAAAACTGAAAGCATTGATGTAAACATATTTAGTAACATAAATTTATATAATTTAACAGAACAATATAATAATATTTATAAAATAAGTTTCAAAACCTAGGAACAACATAAATGACTTTGTTTATGCAGCTTGAAGTGTTACAATAAAAAAACTTTTTTATCTTGAGACTTATCATGATGGATTAAAATTTGTTTCACAAATTTCTGTTGACATCTAATACAAGTAAAACAGTACGATTCCCCTTCAGCACATACTTGCTTAATCGTACCGACAACAATTAATGTTTTTTCCTAAAAAATATTAATGGAAGTTTAAATTTTAGTATAAAATAATAATAATCAAGGAATAAGATATAAATAATACAAAACCAATTTCTCATAATTTATATATTGTAAATGAAAGTGATTTATATATACCTGATGTATTTGTTAGAGATTAGCAATACTATTGAAATCAAAATTATGAAGGAAATCTTCATTTTCGGAGTAGATGATCGATGACGAAGAGTTGCTACAATTAGCAATTGTGGTTTGAGCGATTTATCTGGAAAAAAACAAATATTGTTTGAAGTTATATATATATATATATATATATAACCTGAACCTAAGATTGCAAAAACTATATGAAAAAATATAGAAAATGAATTACCCTTCATGTAGGCTAGAAATATTAGTTTGAAAATGAGTCAAAAGCATTAATTGCGAATGTAAAATGATGGTAAATATTAAATAAATGATGCATTTTTTTAAAAAAAAAATTTATTTGATTTAATGTTTTGTTAAATATAAAAATGATGAGACCTCCACATCTTTAAAATCGGATAACCGAAATTTTTTAATAGTAGACTTTTCATTTCAGATATACAAAAAAATTAATACAAAGTTACAAACACAAGTTCCTACAATTTAAAAAAATACAATTCAAACACGTCAATTTAAAATTTAAAAACAAACAACATATATAAATATTTATATTTAATATGATATGAATGAATTAAAATTAAAAACGAAAATAACTTGTTTTTCATACGAATACATTATTAACCCTAGATATTTTAGGAACATTCACATATGTTTGTTATTTATCACTTAAAACTTACAACCTGATTCAATAATACAAAGTATAAAGTGAAGACGATGAAGACATAGTTTTCAAAAGAAAAAACGTACCTGATCTTGAAGATCTAATTTTGAAGAGAAAAGAAGACGTGGAGAATAACAGAAAACAATGAAATTGGCGAAGATAACGGCAACAATGGAGGACGGAGGTTCGGAGAGTAGTATGAATGGGTGCCAGTCAGGGACTCAGTGAGTCAGCAACAGGTTCAAGGCTAAGAAGATGGTGAAATCGGATACTTGGGAATGACAACTGGAGGGATTCGTGAGGTATGTTCTAAAAGATTAAAATAATGAGTTTTTGTCCCTAATTTCCTAGATATTTATAATTGATTCGTGATATATTTTTTCCTGATTTTCATAGTTTTTGTGAGATTTCTTTCCAATTTTTATAAAAAAATCCTCCCTAATCTTGTACGTTTTTATATTTGTTTATGATCTGTATGCATGATAGCCCTAAAAATCAGCATCGTATCTTCAATTTTTTGAAGAATAAATCTTGATTTTGTACTTGAGTATGATCACGATCGCAACATTTTCCCTCAAAATCCCTGAGTAATTTCCAATAAAATTGCTATAAAATCGTTTTCATGTGACAAATTACATAATCCATCAGCAAAAGCTTCAACGCAAGTTTGGATTTTGACCAGGGGCATCATAATAAGAATTTCTTGACATCTATCTTTGTGTGATAATGCATTTGCATCACTTATTTGCTTATTTTAAAGTCCTGTAATAGTAATGATATCATCTTTGTTAACCCTTATGAACTAATTCTATCAAAATATAAAAGAGCTTTGACTTAAACAATATATATATATATATATATATATATATATATATATATATATATATATATATATATTTCTGCCAATTTTAATCGAAGTTTTTGACTATTATCTCGAGATGTATGCTTCCAACACTGCAATCTGACATCCAATGGGAAATCCGTGAGTGATTCATGATATGTACAAGAGCCATTATACATAAAATGGAAAAATGAGATTGTCTCAGTGGCTGCAGATACCAATGTATTCTTGTTAGGAAGAAGAAAGAGATACAGTTGGAGATACACCTATCAAATATCATGGAAAATGGGCACTCAGACGTATGATGTTCGGTGGAAATAAAGTAGGTTGTTATGTATCCAACATTTTTTTGGGGTTGTTTCTTTATAAAGTACGATGTACTTACAGGGGTAGATTGGTCATTTTACAAATTTCATATTATAATGTGTTTCTTTTATTGACGAAATGTACTCTCTATCATCATCTAATAGACCAAGAGCATAGCAAGCATCTTTGTAAGACTCATGTACAATGCCGTTAATTGTCCTGATATCTTCATAGCATGTAGGACCCTTGATTTTGTTCAACAAAATCCGTAGATAAAAAATGTCACCAGACTTGGGAGAAACATGGTTTAATCGACCAACTGCCTTGGACTTGGTTTTCCTATTCGTCCATATCTTATCTGATTTATTCCGAAAGTATTTAGTTGGGAATTCAACATATGATAACTTTCGTGCATCTTCATCATGCTTGTTACATTCCATCCAAGCTAAAAATTGAGAAGCAGCGACAGTCGGTTTAGAAACAACCTGATTAACATGTTGGTTTTGTTTAGAAACAACAGGTTGTTTGTGTTTGAGGTGAAATGACAACCTTTCGACAGACGATGTTCGATAATGAATATCATACCCAAAAAGCCTCCAACATGCCTCACATGCGGAAATATAACGACAGTTATAGAACTCACCAATTTTGTCACGGTCGTTATTTTCTATCTGTTGTTTCTTCTTTTGTGTTGGATCAACAATACATGCAGTTATCCTATCCAGTCCTTTGTTAATATACTTAAAAAGATACTTTATCGATCCAACTTGGTTACACCACTCTAGAGTTATGTGAGTTTGATATTGTTTCAGAAGGATCTTATTATATGGAACAACATTTCTAAAAAATCAAGAAAAATGTCATAAATAACATTAAATGATAATTTGAGGTTAACATAGTAAGAACATAAGAAAACATATATAATGAGTAATATGTTTTTATAGATTACATTATCCGTTTAAAAATAAAATATTAGTACAATTTTAATTTAACTTGTTCGTTGATATTTATGTATTTAAACATATAATAATATATTTCATAAAAACAAAACAAATTTAAGGAATTAATGCTTAGTAAATCAATGAAAAGGATTTGTGTATACCTGTTGTCTAAAGAAACACCGTTTTTAAGGACATTATTTCCATCGTTACGTCTCTGGTAAATAGGATAACCATCTTCATCAATATATGTATGATCGGTAAATTCCTTTGGAAATCGTTTTGAACATTTGCCTTTTTTCATACACGACATAAATGGTTGATCGTTGCCACAAGGTCCGTGTATCATGTTATCACAAACAATCTGATACAAATCAGGTTCACTATCCTTGTCTAGCAATTCAACACATATAACATGGTCTATGTCTTTAGGATTTGGAATTTTAGAATTTTTTTTTCCAAAAACAGACATACATAACAATGTGGCAGGCCCTCTTTTGAAACTCATTTGTATATACAACTGTGTGAGCAAAGAAAGCAACTAGGGTTAAATGATAAAATTATCAAACAGTTATAATGTTAATGAGTAAAAATATATAAGATTGATACCTCCAGCGACTTCACCCAAAGTTTTTTCATCCTTCAATCGACTGATTAATGAATCAAGTTTAATTTTGAAAATTCATGTAAGGATATTTGGCCTGTCTTCCGGTTTAAGATTCTCGACTTCAACAAATCTAATAACTTCTGGCCATTTAGGATTACATGTAAGGGTTAAAAAAAGATCTGGATAACCAAACCACTTAACCAGAGTCATTGCATCTAAGTAGTTTTGTTGCATGTAACGGCTGCCACCGGTAAAAGAAGATGGTATAATAATACGATTTCCCATCAAAGAAGCATCTTCAATGCCATCTTTAGCTGCCTGGGCCAAGTTGCGATAAGGTGCCATGCGTAATGTTGGTTGGTTAAGCCTAATATAATTAAGTCGTTCATTTTCAACCATTGTATACGAATTAACCAGAAACTGTTGGAATAGTTTTCTTGAACGTAATATCAATGATATTTCATCTGTTCTCTGTGGTGTAAAATAAGAAAAAAACTCTCGCATGGTCAATCTTATTCGTCCATTAGATTCTTGATCTTCAACACCACGATGTAGTATATCCACTCGAAATCCATCCTCGGCATAAGGGAATAATAAAGGATATTGAAGTGCAAGATACTGAGGATGCAACTCATTAATACGTTGAAGTTATCGACTTTGCGTTTCCAATACGATATCCCTCGAATCATACCCATCAATGTCACATATAATGAGGGAAGCTACCTCATTTGTGGTAGGAAGATTATACTGCCTACCATCAGTTTCTCCTGACCCAATCAATTTCAACCTAATACGCTTTGTTGGATTTGAACCAAAGCAATCACGTACCATTCTAAATTGTTTAACCAGTGGATTAATGAAATCCAATAAGCCCATAAACTCCTGAATAGTCCAGAACTCAAGAGAAAACGGATTTTCCATGGACTCATTAGATGTGGTCTTTTTCTTCTTATTTGACCTACAATAACATAATAAAAAAATATTTGATATAAACTTTTTGTAGTAATATATATATATATATATATATATATATATATATAAAATTAATGGAATTATACAATATAGGGTATTCACATACTCGCATGATTTGAATCTGTTTTGAACCTCATGATCTGTATCATATATGTACAACTGACAAAATCTTGGTGATTCACCCTCTTCGGGAAGTAAGCTGCCTACACTATGATAATTGTGGCCATGTACTCGAAAAACATAAGGACTACCTCCTGAGTTAATGGCGTGACCAATCTTTCCAGCCATAGATGTGAATGCGAACATCATATTGTATCGATGTATATTCTATATGAAGTTTTGAATTTTTTCAGAAAGACCACTATATAAATCAAGCAACAACTGAGGTGGGTGAATCAGACTGTGTAGTTCAACTTTTCACTACTAGAAAAACAGCCTTTTACGACGCTCATGGCGCGTCGTAAAAGGCTCAGATGACGCGCAAATGCGCGTCAAGGAAGGCCCTGTCATAAAGAGAAACGACGCGCTTTTGCGCGTCGTCTATAGACGACGCGCATTTACGACGCTCATTTACGACGCACAATTACGTCGCGCATTTACGACACGCAATGCGTATCAAGGAAGGCCCTGTCATAAAGGAAGACGACACGCATTCGCGTGTCGTAACCTTACGACGCGCGTGTTAATGACACGCAATGCGTATCAAGAAAGCCCCTATCAAGAAAGGCCATGTCATAAATGAAGATGACACACATTTTTGCGTATCATAATTTTAAATGTTTTAAAAAAAATATTATATTATTGATTTACTAATTTTCAAATTAAATAATACATTAAAAATCTCATAATACAAAATAAAATACGATAAATAACAAAGATAATTCATTTCACTAATATGTCAAATACAAATAATTATTCCAATATTGAGTAATTGTAATAAAAGAAATGAACTCAAGAGAAGTAGAATTTATATACAATCGCATTATCTAGCTTACTATGTACTAACAACTCTCTGTGTGTTTGCTTTTGCTTGAGTCTTGTTTCCTCCAAAGCTTCTAGCCATGCCAAAGTATGAGTCTTGCTTTTGCTTGAGTCTTGTTCATGTCCAAATCAAGTAAAACATTGCTAACTTATATTCATCAAGTCCTTACCTTCCTGGAACTGAATTGAAGTCACCACAGACGAACATTGGAATATCTGAACTTGCAATTATCTTTTTCAATCCTTTTAACAGTGTGTGAACCTTCAATTTTCACATTTATATAGTTTTTAAGTTATTAAACATGAAGAAAAAGTGTATATATACAAACAACAAGAGATACTTATCTTCTTTGTTTTCATTTCTCTTCGACAAAATCTACACTAAAAGAAATGTGCGCATGTATGTTAATGTCAAAATTCCTATGAGGGCAAAATGGTCATAATAATTCGGAACAATCTGGAAGAGTATTTTTGTTCGAGTGGAAAGTGAATCTTGATTTTATACATATATATATATATATATATATATATATATATATACATACATACACACACACAACACAATATCAATGTATGTCAGTGTGTGTGTGCTAACAACCGAGAAGCTAAAGAGCTTCCTAACATGGAAGATAACATGAAAGTAGCAAAAATGAAACCATGTGGAATGTCTTTACCATTTGGGCTTAAAGCAGGTGTCCATAGAAACACAAAAGTGTACATTGAACCCTCGAATAAAGATTGTATTGCACCCAATAATGCTATCTTTTCATCTGTTTTTACACAAAAAAAAGAAACTATTAGGTCCAAATTTAGAAGGTAGAATGATATGTATGCATAATTACAAGATTGCCACTTTGGATTCTTCATGCTTCTCCTGTATATGCATTAGAACCATAGACAATATAAAGGGTGTATTTAGAAATGTAATATTATATCTCACCTTGTTGTGTTCAGCAACAAGCCATGATTCGAAGGCTGAAAAGAGGAGAGAGGTGGCAATCCCTCTCAATATACGCCCCACCATTAGAATTATGTACTGAGGTGAATGCTTGGTGATGCAATTTAGAATGTAGGTTATGCAGTAAGTAATTGAAGCTCTTTTTGCTTCTCCTTCTCCTTCAGAATGTAGGTGACAATCCCTACTCAATTTCTCCCTGACAGTTGATCCACGGTGTTTTTTTACTCGCATATCAGAACTGTCATCAGAAGAAGTATCTTTCTTCACAGTTTTTTTCTTTTTACCTATAAAGAAACAAAGGTATCAGTTCAGCAACAAACTTTCACTTTTTGACTCATTTAGTCCCTAATCGGTTTTTTGAATTCAATTAGAGTACACTTAAAAACAAATTTAGTGGCCTACTGAGTCCAAAAAATGATTAGGTACTTGTAAGGTACAGTGGCTGAATAAATAATGATGCTTTCCTGTTTGTTTTTTAGAGTAAATAAGCCAAACTGTCTGTACGTGACAAAATGACCATTTTACCCTTTCGTTTATGAATAATACAAACACAAGTGTTCATATGTAAAACATGGTTTCAGGAAAATGACATGGAAGAGCATGCCTAGGTTCAACTATCTAAGAGCTGCAAAAGAGACTGAATATTTCTGTTTCGTTTTCTGGTCATAATCTTCAAATTGTTCATGAATCAGAAGATAAAGAATTTCTTGAACTGGCATCAAGGATAAATGGAAATAAATCATTTAATAATAAACAGGTCAGATATCTTTATTTAGTTATTTTATTTCTCTTTTTGCCATATGTGACTGAAATATATTATATTATTATACATAAAACTCACTACAGGCTGTTAATGCACTCCGTGAACATTGGCAAAATTCTTCCCCAAAATCAATACCTCTAAAGGAGCTTAACCCCTAAACAGGTAAGAAAGTCTCCAATATAGATTATTTCTTATATGAAAAAGAGAAAAACAGCACCAATACAAATAGAACCCAGTCATGTAAGTCCACTCTGATAGAAACCTGTCATTTAAAGGTTCTTCATGTTTCCAATGACTATGTTTGATAAAAAAAATGAAAATGAACAGAAAGACTTCCTAATGATAATAATGAGGGTAAATTGATAATTTAAACTCAAAATGCTGCATTTCGCATAGGGCATCCAATTTGGAAATTTGTTCAATTATTGTGGGATGGAAACAATCAAACAACGTATATTTTATTGATATTATGTTGATAAGTTGCAAGTCTTCTATGTTACCTATTTTAACAGAAGATCTAAGGAAGACTGAATATACTTACTGTACAAACCAAAGTAATAGGAAGGACAATGCAGAGGAAGTCGATTATTCGTCCTCAAAATCCCTCTTTTCTGTCAAATAAAATTACATGAATATGTCAAGGACAACATTAATAAACACCTATTAAATTGCAAGGGAAAATGATAGACCCTTGTTGAATCTATCATAAACTCCAGGCATTTTAACCCCTGATCTAATTACGTGATGATATTAAGATAATTCCCAGCTTTCGAGATGTGGGTATCTCCAAGAAAGAACAAAGTTCAATTCATAATAATTCTTCGCTATCTCACTCCTATTACTAACTACTATATATATACTGCTACTACTAAAGAAAAGGACAAAAGGGAATAACAGCTAGCAAGGTGATATCACCACTACTTTGTCTCACCACTAACTCTAAACTGTTAAAATAAATAAAAGACCAAACTGCCCTCCATACACCAATTCTGGAAGTAGGCTGCAGAAGATTAGACTTTGGGTTTCCAAGCCCTTATACCATAAACTAATAGTCCATGGGGCTTATCAGAAAAGAATAACAAAAAAGAAAACCCCACAAACCTCTGGGTATGTGTTGCGTCGCCTCAAATTTGCAAGAGCAGAAGCAACCTGATTAAGATTATATGTTAAAATTAAGTTGTAATTTGTAAATATATATGATAATAATTATTTATGAAATAAATGATACCTGATCACTAGCTTCTTTGAGCTGTAATAGTACCATTGCATATTCCTTTTTGAAGCTTTCGGATACATTCATGGGGACACCTGTCTCGTTTTTACTCAATGAGAGTGCATGTATATCGGTTTCTCTTGCCTGAATTTGAGAGGCTGCTGCATGCTGATGCTGTGAGATAATAACATTGTCTGCAGCTTTAAGAGGTGCACCAGACCGATTTTGTCCCTAAACAACGTATAATTTTTAATTTTATTAACATATGTTCGGGTATTTTTTTTTCAAAAATAAATTTAAGAAAACTAACCAGTCGATGGAGACCGGGTTTTCAATTATACCCAACACACATGAACCTTCACATGGAACGGGGCAAACCTTGCCCGTGAACTCTGGGAAGTTATTTGTTTCAAGAAGTCGATCCAATGCCTCACGTCATCTGTTGTGGTCGGGTCGCCCGATGTTTGACCGCATCAGTGACTCTTGATGGTCGGGTCGCCTGTTCGGCATTTTCATCCTCCTTCACCTAAAAATCGAAATTAAACAAAATTACTATTTTACCCCTCAAACAAATTCTAAAGCATTATAAATAAAAAAAAGATATGATTCTCACCTGATTAACAGTGTCAATCAACTGATTAACTGTCTCAGTCAGTGACTTGGCTGCCAGCTTCTTAAGATCCTCAAAAGCATCTTTCTCCTTCAACACATCTTCCTCACGAATGTCAGCTTCTTCAGCAGCCAAATCAACTTTTTTTTAGTTCTTTTCTATGGATTTTGACCATTTTCAACTCGACCCACTAACACCTAATAACTTTGACTTGTGGAGAGAAAACCCATGCTTTAACCTTGTATAGATCATCTCTCGCTTTCTTGAAACAAGCAGCTTGGGACTGGAACAACAATCAAATCAAAATTTCTCAAACAAATAAAATATAGGGTTTAGAGCTCATTTTAGAGCCAACTGATATGAAGGAAAAAAAAACCTCATGATACAGATATGCCTTGACCCCCTTTAGCCCATGCCACATTACAGACCCAATCAGCTTGTGGCTTACTACAAGAGAACCTAAATTCAAATCTCTAACACATAATTTGAAGAAATTGTTGTCTTTGTCATACATGATGTATGCAATGAATCGATGACCAGGTGAGACTTCTGCTACCTCTTCATATGCATAACCTAAATGAAGTCATGTTAATAGATTAAATGAAGTGGAAGAGAATTAGAGATCATTGAAAGATGTTGAAATGATACTGGAATTGGAATTACCCCAAATCTTTCTGCTTCTTGATTATAATCGATGAGTTTTTGTTCAATCCTCTTCCTGGAGATGAAATCGAACCCACCTGTTGGACTTTTATGTGAAATGAACTCTTCGTTTAGGCTAGCTAATCTCCTACAGAGTAATGGATATTGTTTCCCTTCCTCTACTCTCCTGTAATACAACCTGAATTTCACCTCCAAATTGCCAAAGAAGAACACGGAATTTGAATTCGGATCCAAAAGAAATCAACAAGCATTAGATGAAGTGCAATTTGAAATTGTGGTACCAGGTTCCCCAGCGAAATGGAGGAGTGGAGAGCTGAGAAGACATGCGAGATGCTATTTTTGATTGGAGTTTGGATTGAAGGCGATCGGAGTTTGCTAAAATAGCTTCAATCGAATGGCGCTGATGTAAGGAGTCACATAACCTTCAATCGAAGGTGTTTTGCGTGAGAGGAGCTGTTGGATCTCTCTGAACAATTTATTGAGAAGTGGTTCAAAGCCCTAGTTCTTTTCGTCGAATGGCGCTGATGGAAAGCATATGGAGACTTGCGACATAGTGGATAGAGAAGATTAGTGTCTGATGGCGCTGACAAACACTCTTTATAGATTCCATGGCCGCTTAGAGCTGATGGGTTTCGATGCTGGTGATGGCGGCTTAGGGCTTGAAAAGAGAAGGGAGAGAGAGTGCAGATCAAGGTACAGGAAGACGAGTTGCTTTAAAAGGATTGACAGCCTCACAATAGAATTAGGGTTCTTTGTTAGAATAGAATTCGGGTTCTTTGTTAGAGGATTGTAGAATGAGAGAAGTAGGCGGGTGTTTAATTTTTTGGGATTTCATTTCCCTCCAACGCCGATTAAAAAAAAGCGAGAACGCGCCTTCCTAAAAAAAATATAAAGCGACATCTTTACACGACGCGCTTTTTATGGTAGGTGCCTTCCGTGTTTTTTTTGGACATTAATTTCCGGGCACGCAAAAATGCACGCCCTCTATCCTTCACATTTTGCAAAGCTGACATTATTTTTTAGGGCACGTACAAATGCGCGTCGTCTATTAGCGCGTGTCATTGTTTGCACGTCATTAAAGGCCTATTTTCTAGTAGTGTTTCCATTGTTACAACAAATGGAATAACATGTTTTCTTTAAATCCTTATTTCCTCGAATTGTTTCTCCCTGCCACACCTTAGCTTTACATACTAAGCAAACATATACAACATCTCCAGAATCCAAATAATCTATAAATAAATAAACAAATTTACTAAATTATATTTTTGGTATGCTTTAAATGTAATAGGTAATGACATTTTATTTGTCATAACAAAATATCACTGGTGTGGATATGATACCTTTGCTTATTCCGATATATTTACTATGATTGTTACCGGTTACATCATTCTGAGCATTTGAAGTAGAAGGCATACATATTTGTGTCTTCTTTTTTGTATAAATTGGTATGCCTCTTTTTTTCTTTTCTTTATAGTTAACGTTGGTACCAACTGAAAAATGTGTAACTGTATGTATGAATAAAGTACATAATAACACAACTGAATGATGAAGTTGATCATTATTAATAGATAAACGATCAAGTTGAACAATATGGCTACCTGAAGGTTCAACGTAATCTTCATTCAACTCAAAAAATGGAATATCTTTTGTATTAAATTGTTTCCGTTTCGTTGTTGTTGAATGGGTCTTGTTGTGCTGAATTGTATCTTGGTTGTTGGAAAAGTCTGGAACACTAGATAATCTGGATGCTTGTATTTGTTATGTTTGTGAAGGATTATTGAAAGCTGAGATAATATATAATATTAGAGATTATGTAAATAAAATTATGATAGAAAAAAGACATAAATGTACTAATTAGTAATTAAATAGTAGGAGAAGTAAAGGGAGGTTAATATTGGAATTTTGATTTGTATGTTCATTTGAATTAGATGAAGTATATGGTAGGTTTAAAATTGTTATTTGCTTACTTTAACGGTTAATATTGGAAATATGTAATTGTGGTTATATGATTTAAGATGTGAATGTTAATATAATATTAAAGAACTTAATATTAACTTACCTTGACGTGTAATTTCTGAAGGTAATTCGGTAAACTTTCGAGCAACTCGACAATTAGGGGGTATGAAGAAATCATTTTCTGAAAATGAAAATTTGTGTGATAAATTAGGGAAATATATAATTAAAATATATGAATTTAATACACATAATAAAATAAAAAAAAGCAATACAAAAGAGACGTAACATATAACAACTGTACCTTTGTGGGAATTTGTTTGTATTGTCTGAGTTGATGGTGTTTTTAAAGCACTTGATGAAGAGGGTGAATGAACTAAAGAGGAAAAGTATATATAAAACACTAAATTAAATAAGATATTAAAGGAAAAAATTAGTTATACAAATTAGATATTATAGATATATATGTATTAAAAATTAAATGTTAAAAGTTTATATATTGGGAAGTTAAAATTCACGTTATATGATTTAAGAAGTGGATGTAAATATAATATAAAAGAAATTAAGAATACTTTACCTTGATTGGTTAGCTGTGTGAGGAAATAAATGTGGATTGAACATTCGGTTGTATGATGTTATGAGACGGGGTAGCCTTAGATAATTCGGAAAGGTTTCGAGTAACTCGACAATTAGGTGGTATGAAAAAATTATTTTCTGAAATGAAGATTCATATCATAAACGGGGGAGAAAAATTAAAAAATATAAATAGTACAATAGATATGCAAATATAAAAACAAAAGTGTAATAAGAAAGATGAATAACATATAAGAAAATGTACATTTGTGGGATATTGTTTGTAATGTTGAATGTGATGATGTTTTTAGAGTATTGGATGAAGATGATGCATTCACTAAGGAACAATGGTATGTATATCAAAAACTCAAAATGAAATATAAAGAGAAATGAGTTATACAAATTGAACATTATAAAAATTTAAGCACTTCAAATATAATCAGAATGCTTAAATATGAATCTTACCATTTGTGATGTCAGACAGTGGTGTTGTTGGGGAAGTGTTGCTGGATGAAACATTAGTAACAAACCTTGTAGGTTTTTTCTTTCCCAAAGCATTTGAAATGTCACTCATTTCAATATGTTTGATAAGTTTTACGTTCTTGGTTATATATATATATATATATATATATATATATATATATATATATATATATATATATATATATATATATATATATAGTGATGATGATGATTTGTAACACTTTAAATAAGGGAACTGGATATTTAAAGGGTTTAAATTAGGTTAAAAAATAATTTTTGCATATAATTAAATAAAGTAATGAAATATTAGTTGAGTTTAAATTAGGTAAAAAATAAAGTCTTCATATAATGATGGAGGGAACAAATGCAATATAGAAAAATAGATTTTGCATATAATTAAATAAACTAATGAAATATTAGTTGGGTTTAAATTAGGTAAAAAATAAAGTCTTCACATAATTATGGAGGGAATAAATGCAGTATAGAAAAATAGATTTTTAATATATATTCCATGATTTTATTATGTTACCATATACAAACGATGTATATTTATGCAAATAAAATTTAAATTTGACTTTGACAAATAAAAGTAGGTGGAATATCGTATATAATAAAAATATAAATTTTAGTGTGTGTGTGTGTATATATATATATATATATATATATATATATATATATATATATATATATATATATATATATATATATATATAGCCCAGCAAAAAGGTGATCTGCACTTACGGCCGTAGAGGGCTTCGAACGGGGCAACCTTGATGCTAGTGTGGTAGCTATTGTTGTATGAAAACTCGACCAATGGTAAATGGGTGTCCCATGCCTTTCCAAAATCGATTACGCAAGATCTCAGCATATCTTCTAGGGTTTGTATGGTTCTCTCACTCTGGCCATCGGTTTGTGGGTGATACGCGGTACTCATGTCTAGTCTCGTTCCTAGAGATCTTTGCAGCGACTGCCAGAACCTTGAGGTGAATCTACTATCTCGGTTCGAGATAATGGATATTGGCACACCATGCAATCGTACCATCTCCCTGAGCTATGTTCTAGTTAGCTTCTCCAATTTATCCGTTTCTTTGATTGGTAGGAAGTGCGCGGATTTAGTTAACCTGTCGACGATCACCCAGATGGTGTCGAGTCCGCTTACCGTATTGGGTAATTTGGTTATGAAATCCATGGTTATCCGCTCCCACTTCCATTCGGGTATTTCTGGTTGTTGTAACAATCCCAAGGGCTTTTGGTATTCCACCTTGACTTTGGCACACGTCAGACATTTGCTCACGTAAGTAGCAATTTTGGCTTTCCTGTTCGGCCACCAATACAGTTCCTTGAGGTCCAAATACATCTTATCGGAGCCGGGATGTATGGAGTATCGTGTCTTATGGGCTTCGTTCATGACGAGTTCTCTGAATCCGCCAAACTTCGTTGTCCAGATCCGATTCATGAAGTAACGAACTCCATCATTCTTGACTTCAAGATTCTTATCCATTCCCCTTAAGGCTTCCCCCGCCACATTTTCGAAATTCAAGGCTTCTATTTGGGCTTCCTTGATTTGCGTGGATAGGTGTGATTGGATTGTCATACTTAGAGACTTCACTTAGCGGCCCGAGTATTCCTTTCGGCTGAGTGCATTAGCTACCATGTTAGCCTTTCTGGGATGATATCGAATTTCGCACTCGTAATCGTTTAGTAGTTCTACCCACCATCTTTGTCTCATGTTGAGTTCCTACTGGTTGAGGATATGCTGGAGGCTTTTATGATTGGTGAAGATTGTACATTTCGTGCCTTAGAGATAGTACCTCCATATCTTTAGAGCGAAAACGACTGCTCTTAGCTCGAGATCATGCGTCGTGTAGTTTACTTCGTGCGTCTTTATTTGTCTTGAGGCGTAGGCGATGACCTTCCCTCGCTGCATTAGAACACACCCAAGTCCTTGGTTTGACGCATCACAATAGACCACGAAGTCTTCTGTTCCTTCTGGTAAGGTTAAGATGGGCGCACTACATAAGGATCGCTTTAGTGTTTGAAATGCGATGTCTTGTTTTTCTCCCCAGTCGAAGGGCACACTCTTCTGAGTTAGGGTGTTAATCGGCTTAGCAATCTTCGAGAAATTTTGTATGAACCTTCGGTAATACCCGGTGAGTCCCAAGAATTGTCGGATTTCCGTTGGGGTCCTTGGAGTCGTCCAATTCTCTATTGATTTGATCTTGGAAGGATCCACGTGTATCCCTTCTTTGCTTACTGCATGACCTAGGAAATCTACTTCCTAAATCAAAAATTCGCACTTTGAAAATTTTGCGTATAGCTTCTCTGCCCTCAATGTTTCCAAAACTTAGCGGAGGTGTTGGCTGTGTTCTTCCTTGCTTCTTGATTAGATGAGTATATCATCTATGAACACGATCAAAAATTTATCCAGGAAGGGACGACATACTCGGTTCATCAAGTCCATGAACACTACTGGTGCATTTGTCAATCCAAAGGGCACACTACAAACTCGTAGTGACCATAGTGTGTTCGGAATGCCGTTTTGGGGATGCCTCCTTCCAGTACTCACAGTTGGTGATAACCAGATCTTAGATCGATCTTTGAGAAGTAGCTTTCTCCTTGTAGTTGATCGAACAAATCGTCTATGCGCGGTAGGGGATATCGGTTCTTGATCGTGAGTTTGTTCAGTTCTCGGTAATCGATGCACATGCGAAAGGATCCGTCCT